TGATATAGTAAATACACCAACTAAATGGGAACTGATTTTTCTAATAATTTGAAACTAGAAACCTATCCAATTTGCTATGAACCAACTGGAATAAGCTATTGATGGACCACGTAAAATGATTACCATTTACTGGTAAGTCCGTAAGAGTATTCCAAATAACAAAATCATTGAACAGACATATATAAGTTTTCTACAGAGTGTTTGAAGAATTTTCACCATGGATCTTAATACAATTAAAGTCTTCCCAAAGCATACCGACAATTGAATAATTCTTAACTATAGATGATAAATCATTCAAAAACATTTATTTTTAGGAACCCACATTTGGACCATACACATTTAATAACAACCATCTAAATTTTGAGAAAGGACCTTAAAAAACAACCTGCAAAACAGTCATGTTCAGGCATAATAAAACAATGGAGTCCCAAAGTAGCCATATGCCCACATACGCACCAACAACATCCACAACAAAAATTGAATAGAGTTCGTACCCCAAATACATATAATATCATAAAGAGAATGACTAGGTAAATTGGTTTCTAATAACATAACAAAATTAAATCTATTTTTCTTAATAAAAAAAGCAAACCTCATCACGCCGCCTGTGTTCCCCTAGCTTTCTCACGTTCTAGCTTAATATCTTCATGTATTACCTGGTGGGGCAGTGTCCTCCACATTGGAAGACAAATCAGAAGAAGTTTCGAGCCGCATTGAATCATTTATGTTGCTAAGAACAACGATGGAGCCATCAATCTTTTGGGACTTTGAGAAAATTGTGCGAGCAACCAGTCCAGCTGACGAACAACAAGGTTCAATAGCTATCTTCTCCTTTTCTTTGCTCATCTCCTTCAGAACATGCACATGATCCTTATTTTTATTAGCTAGGGCCGCCTCCCTCAACTTCCTTTCTCCTTCTTCCTCTCCCTAACACGTTCCTCGATGGTTCGGTAAACCACCGATAAAGACGTATTAAATGATGCCCCCATGGCCTCGATCGTATTCGCAAACCTCCCATGTGAAAAATCATTTACCTCAACAGCCACAATAATTTGCTCCATTGAAGCATGGTCTTGAATTTAGTCAATCTCCTAGTTTGCAAGCATCACATCTAGTTGAGGAATGTCTATAACTTCATCCTCAAAAGCATCTAACAACCCCCCCCCCCCCTCCCCCTCCCCCTCCCCCTCCCCAAGTAGCATTTGTTGGTATCATACCCTACTCATCTTGGTCCATGATAATAATAATGTCTTCCAATTTATTTGATAACTCTCTACTACTAGATGCATCTAGCCTTCCACTTTTCACCGTTAATCGAAAGAGAATGATACGATCTTATACCGTTGTCATGATAAGATTGAGAAGCTAGAACAAAAAATCAATGGAGTCCGAAAGCCCCATTTTTTCTTCTGAAAATTTGCTAAAAGCTTGTTGAAGATGATGATACTTCTCCAACAAAATTTTCTTTTCCTATACTTGCATGTAGCCCCCATAAATGTATGTCATTTCCCCAAATCCACATGGTCTCCCCAAATCCCTCAAAATGATCCAAAATATATATTTTTAAATATCTATCTCCACCTTCTTTTAAAGTACATCACAAAAAAGGTCTATTAGTAGATTAAATCTCCAATCTATCCTTCATAGAGACCACCATGTCACCTTCCAAAAATGATGCTTTTATGACACTACGTCCAAAATTTAAATCAGTAGTAACATTTCCTTCTTCTATTACCGAGCATTTTGAAACTGTCATTTTAGATGAAGTAGCAGTTTTGACAAACAAATATGCCTCTTCATATTCCTTGCGTTTCAGATTTCAAACCTTCTTAGTTTGAATATTTGAATGAAAAATAATTTGGATTTATTGTCCACGTGGCTCAACAATAGCTGATGGATTGCTGCAACTATTTCGAGATGAGGCTGTGGTAGAAAGATGTTACACTTTGTTGTAGAGATCCTTCGGGGACTCAGAACAATGAGCCTTACTTCTTCGAACTTTAACCCATTCATCAACAGTTTTTGAAACTACTAAACACACCTTCTTCCTAATATCTTATTCTTGAGAAACATAAGGCCCACTTCCTTCTATCCTCACATCTACTAAGAAATCCTCTTTCCATGCACATAATCTAATAAACCTTGGAAGATGAGAAAACTTATTACGAAAAACCCTAACCGCACAAAATACATATTGACTCCTTTTAAGAACACCCAATTAACAAAATGGAACTCCCCACAAAGATTGGCTAAATCTTGAAAAATACCTAGGTTCCAAGCATGAATTGGAATACTCCAGAACTTAACGCATACCAAGTTCTCAATAATGAAGGACATACAAGTGGATAACTTCCATCTAATCCACATTCAGCAATCTCCCTCTTCATCTCAAATGGTTAATACGTAGAGTTTTTTATACATCTTCTACTGATTTGAAGAGAAAATGCAACTTTGGTTATTCCTAAAATCTTCACCGCCGGTGCATAGGGCAGCATCCAAAGCCCGTTTTGCCCTCCGAAGGTGGAGAAAAATATCCAACGACTATTGAAGAAATTTTCTGCAAATTTTTTGATAGTATTGTCTGGTTTACTGTAATGTTAGGGCAATTAAAATCAATCTTAACAAAAACCAAACTCTCCTGTTCATTCTTAAATTGTTAATTTTCGAGTGACCAATTTCATTTTTCTTTTCATAGTTGTTTATTAGATTAAACAGGCCACATCTTCAAATAAATTAGGCTCTAAAAATATTTCTTGTTTGGTTTTTAACCATATGAGCATTGGATGGTCTGAAGCAATAAAATATTTTACTTTACACGATTCTTGTTGAGCTTGCCTCTCCACTCGAGTCAGTGTCAACTTTAATTTTATTCAAGATGGCCTAGTAAATAATCAACCAAAGTTGACTAGTAGAATGATGTAAAGTAAAATTCTTATAGCCAACTTCTCTCTCTACCGTACAAAACTCAAAATCCTTAAGGATAATAATTTCAAATTTATCTTACTGTCATTAGCATTTGCTAGTTTTAATTGCTATCTTAAGTGAAAAGATAGGTATTAATTATGAATCCACATATATTTTTTGTTAGTTAATTCAGTGGGAAATATAGGCCCCTACCCATTTTTTAAATGGCTAGGTTTTTGAAGCTATCAATCGGATTATTAAATGACCAAGTTTTCAAAATTGTCAGTGGGATTGGAGAGCACGATGTGCAACTAAGATATAGGGGATGTTACCACCCCAACACTTTTCCTTGATGAACTCACATATACTTAGTGTACCTCAACACATGACAACTATGTGGTTTTCATTTTTGTGAAGTTGCTTGCTACTGGCACATAGATTGCACAACTCTGCTTTGCTAGAACTATTGATAAGGAAAGCGGTATAAACTCAAAAACAAATAAGGGAGATCTAATAGTATAACTGTCATGATCATCTAGGCAATCACCATCCAACTGTAAATTGGATGGTCATGGAAAGCAGGATCCAACATTCAATTCATGTTATTTTCTGATGGTTAACATTCTCCCTATCATTGTTGAATCGATGATCTTACGACAAAGAGCTTCATCATTATGACTTTTCTATAGAGATCAAGACTAGCGCATGCTTTCCCCTGAATGAATTATCTTTATTATAAAATCACATGTCTTTCACTAAGATTAAGACAACATGAGAGAGAGAAAGAAAGAGAAAGAGAGAGAAGAGGGGTATCTCAAAATTGTTTCTTCCAATCTCAATGCACAAATTTTGTGGCTTTTGTTAAGAGAAAATAACACGTATACTATACCCCTCAAGAAGATAGTTTATTTTTTACTTCCTCAGTCATAAGGCATAGTCAGGAGGAAAAGCTAGCGCACACTACATTTCTTCGCAGCTAGCACGCACTGCAGGTTTCTTCGCATTGGGAATCCAATTCAATCGTTCGTAGTTCTAGAAAGAATCAAACCCTTCATAACTGATTGTCCCAATTTTAAAAATAAGTTTTAAGCAACTCATTATTTCATATCATAAATGTATTTTGACTCCATCAATTATCCGTTGATAAAAAAAATCAGTGGATTTAGCTAATCCTCGTATACCTCTAGTTAAGATTGAGTTTCTAGCGCTTAGATCTCACCATCTAAAAATTGGATGACCTCTAACCAATCTTGAGACATTATTATTTTTCAAGTGTATGCGCAGGGTACACTTATTATTATTATTTTATTTAGTAATCTATGGGAGGTTACATCCCAAAATTTTTGAGGGAAAGGTTTCTATACCTTCCCTATAGAATAAAAGATATATGCTTCCCCTGCCATCCAGCCATCCAATTTTGATCAAGTGAGTTAATCACTGTTTAATCAAGATCCGATACCTCAAAGGATTTTATATTTAGTTTTTTAGTTATTTATACAAATTGTATGAATATGAAATTTGATGAGTGACGTATTCTCATTGAGGTGCACCTAAAAACAATATTAAAAATAAAATTTTGATAAAAATATCCTTTAGAAATTTCATGAGTATTTTGATCATTTTATTTTATTGAGAATATTTTTTTATACTTTTAACAATTGTGAGTTCATGAGAGGATTGGATGTACAAAATTTGATGTCACTATAATTTGTAGAAAAAAATTAAAATTAAAATAATATAGAGATGTGACATTGTGATTGGGGCCATCTTAACTGTCCATTCAGAATGGACGGTTTGATAAGGAGAAGCGTGCAAGTTTTATGTTGTACGGGAAGCATAGAAAGCTTGCCCAAATTCGGAACCCTAAAATTAATTATAGGTGGAGTTTTAGCTTAGGGAATAATTAGATATTCTAGTACTACTACCGGAGTAGAATATTCTCCACTCTAATACGAGTATAATGCTGAGTACTACAACTGTTGTCCAGTCCATGGGTGTATGGTGTTGTATACTTCGTTCCATCATCCACCATTCATCTAGACGAACTTTGTTTCAAACTTGTCTGGGGCAAGATCATCTCCCGTCCTTATATGCATGAAAAAACGTTCCTGATACTGAAACCCTAGAAGGGAGAAGTCAGAGAGCCTGATTATCTCTGTGAAACCCTAGCAGCTTTCATCAGCAGCCATGGTGGGAAGAACTGTGAAGGATGTTTCGCCTCACGAGTTTGTGAAGTCTTACTCTGCCCATCTCAAGAGATCCGGAAAGGTTTAGCCCTAATTTTACTTTGGTTATTGTTTCTCTCAGTTCACCAATGCTCTCTCTCCACTGATTTATTGGTTTTTTCTATCCCCATCTTCGTTTTGCTTTATTGATTCATTGCTAACTTTTGGCAATCACTGAAAAACTATGGCAATCGCAGTTGATGTCCTTAATTTTATTTATTCAGCTCTCTGGACTCCTGTAAAATCGTGGGACTGGACATTGGTTTTAAAGGTCTATTTTACGCTGTTCAGATGTTTGAAACTCGAGGTTGATTTTAGTGCCGCTTGATTGTAGATTCATGCGTTATCTGGTGCGCTATTTGTGCTGAAACCCTATGTTTCATCTATGCTAAGTAGGGCATTATTTTCTATTGGGAAACCATGAAATTATTGTAAAAAATCAGGGCTTGAGTTCCTTAGCTTGGACCCATATTATTCCATTCGATCATGGAAATCATACTGGGAAAAGATTAATAATCATACGAAGATGATGTTGTCATGGTTGTAATAGATACAGAAGCAATGGTCAATATTTAGGTAGACCATTGTTTAAAGATACAACATAGAGGGTGTGATTTGTGTCTGTTATTTAGTATTTGAGGATAATGCTGTTGCAATCCAGTATTTTATTTCAATACGTTGACCTTAGTTGCTTGAGTTAGATTTCTGTCTTTCTTGTTTAGCATGTAATGCGTTTGCCAGTGCAACATCTTATGTTTCTTACTTCCTTACAATCTTAATTTCAATGACTACTCCATAATATAATCAAATGTTTTATTGGCGACTTTCCCCACTTTTAGTGTCTCAAATTTCAAATGGACTTATGTTTTTCGTACATGTGGTGTTTATTGTACATTTAATTATATGTTGCTTCCTTGTAACTTCATTAAATGGTATTTTTTAACTTGTTTTTATTGAAGGGAATAAATTAGTTGTCAAGGAAAATGGACTGATTTTATGATTCTACGGATTTCGTACCTCTTCTGTGGTTTTTTTAACCGTTTGGTTTTTTCATTTGAAGGGTGCAGCAGTTTGATCAGGGTCTCAGTGAGGCCATGATGGAAATTATTGCTTTTGGAGAAGCACTCAATGGAAGGAACCATGAGAACATGAATCCTTTTTGATTAATTACTGTCTGACAATTTTGTTTGCAACATCAAATTTGTTGCACTGTAAATTTTGTGTATGAGAAACACAACTTTTTACGTAAATTATACAATTAATGGAAGCAGTCATTATCCTGAAGAAAGGACTTGCTGGTGGATATTGTAGCGTGGATGTGGACAGGAAGGGTGAGCTGGGTTTAGATTAGTTTAGTAGTAATGGTGCAGTCAGAATGGCTAAAGAGGAAACTTAAGGAATGGGATTGGTCAACCTTTAATGACGGTCTTGTTCTTTGGTGGTGGGAAGATGTTCTGCACATGATTCAGGGGTGTAATAAATGTCTCTGGGCCAATATTTGTTGCTTCGGCTATGAAACAAATGTAAGGTTAAAAGTTTTGTAGGACTTAGGACTTCAACATTTGTGTGTTATAGAAATTCCCTTCTTTCAATACAACAGTTAACAACATCAAAAAAAAAAAGAGACATGGTGTGTTATAGAAGTTTACACTAGTTAAGAAAATGAAAGTTTGTCAAAAGAAGTCTTTTGGCGACCTTTTTTACGGGGGTTGGGAAAGATAGAAATACCTAGGAGATATATTTGATTTTCATGAGACAGCAGGGTAGGCTTTAAAATTGAGGAATGATTATTAGGACACAATAGAGATAAAGAGATCTACTGATGCATAAGCTCCAAGGTGAGATGGCTAGAACAGGGTTACCAGAATAGTTTTTCTTTCGCAACATGTAGTGGCTGGTGGCTGGAGCTTTTCTCAGTAGTGAGTTAGGAGAGCAATGCTTAACTCAGAGCTATTGGGGCATAGAGAATACCACTTCATCATTTTATAGGGGATTTATTAGGGCTCTTGTGTTTTGTCATTAGTATACCTGGGAGATTCCTGTCCTAAATCAGAGCAAAGGCCTTCATCAATTATTGATCACTTGCATCTCAGAAGCCTCTAGTCATATTTCTTTGGTGTGATAATTAGGCCTAATGGAGAGCTTTGTGGTTTAAACTAGGACCTCACAGTCTAGCAATTTCAGTTCGCAGATAACATGTTCTTTTTCTGGACATGAAACCCAAGCTAGCTGATCAAATTTGGTCCTTTAGTTGTTAGACAACATTTGTGTATCTTTCCACTTGGTTGGAATGCAATTGAATGTTCTTTGATATAGTTAATCTTGCTTTGCCATCCTTTATAGAAACGGGGCTTTGTGATGGAGAGATATGACTCATGATTGCCGCAGAGCCGGGTTCTTATCTTTTCCAGTTAGGTTACCCTCGGAAGTACCAAAAACCTTTCCTTTTTAATGCTTTAATAAATAATAATTCTTTGATGTGTTTGTCCTATTCTCCTCCAATCCTACATATGAGTTAAATTTTTTGCCTTTTGGTATTGATGAATTTGATGTTGTGATTGCTATTCACTAGGTCTGTTTATGTTGGATTTTCAAGATATAATAAGAGACTATTTGCTCTCTCTCTCTCGAACATATACACTCCGTCTTGAAGATTATAATTAATTATGCTATGCAATTCTTGTGTTTTAGATTGAGCTTCCTAAATGGGTAGATCTAGTGAAGACTGGCACATTCAAGGAGCTCGCTCCGTATGACCCTGATTGGTACTTCATCAGGGCTGGTACGTGTCTTAATTTACTCTTTTCTTTGCGTTTGTCCTGGAGTTATCGAACGAAAGCACCTGTTTGTTTCTATTGTTGTTGATAATAATTTTTGCCAATCCTTTATGTTCCAAGAACATGCCTTGCTTCCCTTACCCCCCCCCCCCCCCCCCCCCCCTTCTATCTCTCTCTCAAATGGGTCTGGGAACCAATGTATTCATATGGAGATACAAAATTCTTGATGTCTTTGCTTTGAAAAATGTTGGGATTTTTTCCCTTAAAAAAGAATCGTCGGACAGTTCTGTGAAAATAACTTGTTTTGTCTCACTTTCTCTCTGTCACACTCACTTTCTCATTCACACACAACCACAAAGAAAAATGTGGCTGTGGAGCTAACAGATTGAGTTGGAGAATGACTTTTTTGTGAGGATATCCTAATCTCTCTCTCTCT